TGAGATTATCTCAGCAGCGAGTGAGTCACTCAGACTATCCCAGTAGCACATGGGGCTGGCGGGCAGGTAAGTGGGTGGATCTGGGCGAGTGGATTGATGTGTGCGCTCCACTCAACAGAAAGCCCCAGGTTTTGCCCTGCCAGAGATCTCTGATAGCATGTGGCTTCCTGGTGATTGTTCTCTCCAACACTCACTCCCTCTGAAGAATGGAGAAGCAGTTTACTTATTACCACACAAAGACTTTGAAGTTCCCCGCATCTTAATAAATAATGAACTGGACTTTGTACATGAGTGCCAATTGGCACTGTCCCCAATGCAATCGCAATGCAGGTGCTTTATGTCCTCCTGGAGTCCTCCTGACATGAAAGACACTATACAAATGTAATTTGTTGTTGTTGTTTACATCAGCGTCAAGCAGAATGAATCCCCGCCCACAGTGCACACATCTTTTATATAGCACGCAACTGAAGTAGATGTGACCAGACTGTCCCAAGTCTGCACCAGAATGGGAAAGTTCTTAGAACCCCAGCAGAAAGGTTTGCGCGATGGGGTTGGGAGAGGGTGGCATTCACACTGAATCATACAATTTACAGCAAAGAAAGATGACTGTCAGCATCAACATTTCTGAACGAGGTTCCTACTCAAGTAACACTTTCCTACCCTTTCCCGATAACTCTTGTTATTTCTTATTTTCAAATACTGTTTGTGGGACACAGCTGTGCACAATTGGCTGTCACATTTCACCCACCTTACAGTGTATTCTGTGAAACGTTTTGAGACCTCCCACCGACGTCAAGGAGGCTATGTCCTCCAGTTACCAACTCACTAACCAGCGTAAATAATTTCTCCCCATTTCTCTTTTATCAAAACCCCTCATCATTTTGATCAGTTTTTCTCTCAATTTTGTTCCATTTGGAAGCAGACCCAATTTCTCTAAACCCTCTACCCCCGGCAACATGCTTGTGAAACTCTTCTGTGGCAATGCAAGTGCTTTACATCAATGTCATCATCCTGGTGAAACTCCTACAGGGCTTTGTTACAAATGATAAAATTCCACTTATTAAAATTACTCACCATAAGGCGAGCGAACCTGCCACTTTAGAAGCAAGCTCTCCGTTTGCTCTGAGTCCCCACCGGAGTTGAGCCATTAACAGGCTACAATGACAATAAAACAAATTTATATTGCAACCTAGCCAATCCCTTCTCTAACATTGAGCTGACTGTGATTCCAATGATGCCTTCCCACTGTATTCAATCTAATTCTCCTTTGTCCTGCACTCTCAATGCTGGTGAATACCTCTGAGGCACTGCTTGGAGTTAGGAGTGAGAGGACCAACCACAGTACCACAAAATACACAGTCACCACACTGAAGGCATGATCGAAGAGAAAAGTCTTGAGACGGGTCTTGAAGGAGGCAAGGGAAGCTCTCCTTGGCCACTTGGTGTGGTACTAGAGGACTTGTTCTCCATTGTCCAGCACAATTCACCACATTCAGCAGAGGAGAGGGATGAGATAGAGTGCTGCCTGGCTGCCCAGAGCCCAGAACTAATCATGCTTCCTCCCTGCAGGCTGTCTGACGCTCCTTCCCTCTGCCAGTGATAGCATTATCTCTTCCCTGTTACATGATGTTTGCAATTTTTCCTTTCATGTGAGGAATTAAAACATCAAATAAAATACCAGTAAATAGCTGGATTGTAGTTAAAACAGGAGACCAGAGCAAGACTGCTTTTAAGATTTATTAGATTAGACTTATTCATTAAGGAAGGGTTTAATTGGCTCGAAACTCTGCTGAAACTTACAATTCAATGCCAAACTTGAGTTGGCCTCAAACTTCTTCAGCTGGTGCATCAGGGCAAGAGGAATGGAGACAACCACAGGCAGATGCCTGTCAGTATCCACACAGCAGCCCTTCAAAACCCCAATAAACACTAATAAATGCGGACAAAAGCTGGCGGCCAGTGCGCTCAGAGGCAATAATTAGATTAATCAGCATCCTGCAGTGAGTGAGATTGATGCCAGTGAGCCCAGCGGGGCACTGCAAGCACAAACTCCCTCGCACCGTGTGTCTCAGTTACAGCAACTTGTCAAGGTTCTCAACTCCAACTCACCGTGGCTGTCAACAACAACAACAAATTATATTTGTACAGCGCCTTTCTTGTCAGGAGGCCGTCCCAAGGTACTGGACAGTTAGGAAATCTGCACCTGAGCTGGTGGTTGACAGAGCCCGGTGCAGTACCAGTGTGCACACCACTCACTAACGTTGGTCCAGGGAGTAATTGGGACATGAGAATGGAGAGGGTGTGTGTTTATGACAAAGGGACAATGAAAAGAGATTGTGTGATGCAAGTGGAGAGAATGGAGAAGAGTGAGAGCCAGTATATATATATATATATATATATATATATATATGTCAGAGCTCACTTGAGCAACTGGTCTCTGGCTCAAGCCGAGCTTGCCCTGACAGAGAGGCCATCCCAACACCTGACCTACTCAGGGGGTTGTGAAGACATGGTTCAGGTCCACATTGTCTGGGACAATTGGGGGCCTAGAATAGTTTTGGGGGAGGGGCTTGTCTGAGGGGACAACCCTTGTTCCTTAAGTGGAACCTTTCAGTGTAATTGCTTTGCAAGCGAGAGACCTGAGTTCAATTCCAGGCAGAGGGCGAAACCTTGGGCAAGTTTCCTTACTCCACACAGAGCCTAATAATAATCCCTCCAAAACCAAAAAAACAATAATAAATTGGTCATTTTCAATCTACGACTATTTGTAGGACATTGCTGTGCGCAATTGGCTGCCGCGTTCGCCCACAAATATACAGTCAATTCACTTTACAGTGTGTTCTGTGAAGCGCTTTGGGACGTCCTCCCGACGTGAAAAGTGCTATATCAAATGCAAGGATTATTATTATTATTATTAATTTGTGTAGGTGAAAAGCAGGACATTACAAAGGCACATAGACAGATTAAGTGAACGGGCAAAACTCTGGCAGACGGAGTTCAATGTGGGAAAGTGTGAGATCATTCACTTTGGATATAAGACAGACAAATTGGAATATTTTCATAATCATGAGAAGTTAGGAACTGTAGAAGAGCGAAGGGATTTGGGTGTCTGTGTACACAAACCACTAAAACTAGTTCACAGGTACAAAAAGTAATCAAAAAAGGTAATGTTAGCCCTTATCTAAATGCGGCTGGATTACAAAGATGAGGAAATTATGCTTCAGTTGTACAAAGCCTTGGTCAGACCCCAATTGGACACTGTGTTCAGTTTTGGGAACTGCACCTCAGGAAGTATATATTGGCTCTGGAGGGGGTGCAGCGCAGATTCACCAGAATGATATCAGGACTTAAAGTGTTAAATTACAAGGACAGGTTGCATAAACGTGGTCTCTATTCTATTAGACTGTTGAGGGGTGATCTGATTGAGGTTTTTAAAATGAAAATGATAAAGAGATTTGAATATGGCAGCTACAGGTAAACTATTTTGTCTGGTGGGGGAATCCAGAACAAGGGGCATCATCTTGAATTTAGAGCCAGGCCATTTAGGAGTGAAATCAGAGGTAATTTTTCAAGTTGTGGATTATGGCTGGAACCACTAACATTGTCCAGACAGAGGTGGAAATGTTTGTTAGGTCAGGAGATCAGGGGATCAGGGGATCAGGGGATCAGGGGATATGGGGATACGGGGATCAGGGGATACGGGGATCAGAGGATATGGGGATCAGGAGATCAGGGGATACGGGGATCAGGGGATATGGGGATCAGGGGATATGGGGATCAGGGGATATGGGGATCAGGGGATACGGGGATCAGAGGATATGGGGATCAGGAGATCAGGGGATACGGGGATCAGGGGATATGGGGATATGGGGATCAGGGGATATGGGGATCAGGGGATACGGGGATCAGAGGATATGGGGATCAGGAGATCAGGGGATACGGGGATCAGGGGATATGGGGATCAGGGGATACGGGGATCAGGGGATATGGGGATCAGGAGGTCAGAGGATATGGGGATCAGAGGATATGGGGATCAGGGGATATGGGGATCAGGAGATATGGGGATCAGGAGATACGGGGATCAGGAGATACGGAGATCAGGGGATACGGGGATCAGGGGATATGGGGATCAGGAGATCAGGGGATACGGGGATCAGGGGATACGGGGATCAGGGGATATGGGGATCAGGAGGTCAGAGGATATGGGGATCAGGGGATACGGGGATCAGGGGATACGGGGATCAGGGGATACGGGGATCAGGGATACGGGGATCAGGGATACGGGGATCAGGGGATACGGGGATCAGGGGATACGGGGATCAGGGGATACGGGGATCAGGAGATCAGGGGATACGGGGATCAGGGGATACGGGGATCAGGGGATACGGGGATCAGGGGATACGGGGATCAGGGGATACGGGGATCAGGGGATATGGGGATCAGGGGATATGGGGATATGGGGATATGGGGATTCGGGGCAAAGGCGGGTAATTGGAGTTGAGGTACCGATTAGCCGTGATCTTATAGAATGGAGGAACAGGCTCGAGGTGCTGAATGGCCTCCTCCTGTTCCTATGGCTCCCTGGGCTGTCAGTCATACTAAAACCACACCCCCAGACAGGTAGTCACGCTGTGGCCCCGCCCCTGGAAGTGGAGCTGGGGCGGGAGGGCGGGGCCGCGGGCGGGCGGGGCCGGGGGCGGGGCGGGGCCGGGGGCGGGTCCGGCCGGCCGGGCGGGGGCGGGGCCGCGGGCGGGCGGGGGCGGGGCCGGCCGGGCGGGGGCGGGGCGGGGGCGGGGCGGCCGGGCGGGGGCGGGGGCCGGGCGGGCGGGCGGGCGGGGGCGGGGCGCGGGCGGGGGGCGGGGGCGGGGGGGGGCGGCCGGGCGGGGGCGGGGGCCGCGGGGGGCGGGGGCGGGGCGGGGCCGGGCGGGGGCGGGGCCGGCCGGGCGGGGGCGGGGCCGGGCGGGCGGGGGCGGGAGCCCAGCGTAGGCTGCAGTCAGGCGGCGGCTCGAGGCGGGCGGCGTGAGGAGAGAGGAGCGGCTCCAGGCTGAGGGAGGACAGGCCGGAGCGGAGCGGAGCGGCGATGCGGGCACAGGCCGCAGTATGAGGGGAGCGGCGCTGCTGCTGGCGGCGCAGTGGGTGTGGAGCGCGGCGCTGGCGGTGGCCAGACCCGGGGCCGAGGCGGAGAGCGAGGCGGAGATCGAGGTGGTTGAATACCGGCAGCGGGACAGCGGCGGCGGATTGGTGCCCGCAAACACCTCCCTCAGGCTGCACGGCAGCTTCGCCGGTGCCGGCATGAGTGTGGCCGCCGAGGGCAAACTGCTCCAGGTCAGTGGGTCTGTGTCTGTGTGTCTGTGTGTGTGTCTGTGTGTCTCTGTGTGTGTGTGTGTGTCTCTGTGTCTCTCTGTCTGTGTGTGTCTCTGTCTGTGTGTGTCTCTGTCTGTGTGTCTGTGTGTGTGTGTCTGTGTGTGTCTCTGTCTGTGTGTGTGTGTCTCTGTGTCTCTCTGTCTGTGTGTGTCTCTATCTGTGTGTGTGTCTCTGTGTGTGTGTCTCTGTGTCTCTCTATCTGTGTGTGTGTCTCTGTGTGTGTGTGTCTCTGTGTCTCTCTATCTGTGTGTGTGTCTCTGTGTGTGTGTGTCTCTGTGTCTCTCTATCTGTGTGTGTGTCTCTGTGTATCTCTGTCTGTGTGTGTGTGTCTCTGTCTGTGTGTGTGTCTGTGTGTGTGTGTCTCTCTGTCTGTCTCTGTGTGTGTGTGTCTCTCTCTGTGTCTCTGTGTGTGTGTGTCTCTCTCTGTCTCTGTGTCTCTCTGTCTGTGTGTCTGTGTCTCTCTCTGTCTGTGTCTCTCTCTGTCTGTGTCTCTCTCTGTCTGTGTGTCTCTCTGTCTGTGTGTCTGTGTCTCTTGTCTGTGTGTCTCTGTCTGTGTGTCTGTGTCTCTCTGTCTGTGTGTCTGTGTGTCTCTTGTCTGTGTGTCTCTCTGTCTGTGTGTCTGTGTGTGTGTGTGTCTGTGTCTCTTGTCTGTGTGTCTCTCTGTGTGTGTGTCTCTCTGTCTCTCTCTGTGTGTGTGTGTGTGTGTGTGTGCTCGGGACTGGGATAGACCGTGGTCAGGGGGTGAGGAAAAGCAGTGTGAGAGGATGGGGAAGAGTGGGGTCGGGGCTCCCGGTGCGAGTGGACAGAGTGTGAGCTTTTGGCCCCGGGGGAGTGGAGTGCGGGGAGGGGAGGGGAGGGGAGGGGAGGTGGGGGCACAGGTGAACTGGGAGATGTTGGAGATGTTGGAGACTGTTGGCTATAACCGTGTACAATTCTCACATCTCCAACATTGAGGATGGCAGCAGGACACGGTGTTGCCTGTGGTTGGTGATGGCTGTGGTTGGTGATGGCTGTGGTTGGTGATGGCTGTGGTTGGTGATGGCTGTGGTTGGTGATGGCTGTGGTTGGTGATGGCTGTGGTTGGTGATGGCTGTGGTTGGTGGGTGATGGCTGTGGTTGGTGGGTGATGGCTGTGGTTGGTGGGTGATGGCTGTGGTTGGTGATGGCTGTGGTTGGTGATGGCTGTGGTTGGTGATGGCTGTGGTTGGTGATGGCTGTGGTTGGTGATGGCTGTGGTTGGTGTTGGCTGTGTGTGACAGACATGGGGAAGCCGATGTTTGGGGTACACAATATATGGAGTAAAGATGATGATTTTCCCCACTGAGTTTTTTCCCCACAGAGTGTTTTTCTCCTCATTGCTCTGTTGGGGGTTGGCTGTTCAGGTCATGTCACTTGGACAGCAGAGCTTCGTCAGTGCAGTTGGTGACTTTGATATAAACTGGCATTTTTGTGATTTGATTTCCAATGCTCACTGTGAACCAGGAAGAGCTCAGAGTAGCTCAGTATCATGTGGTCGTATGGTGCTCTGGTTATCATTGTGGGGGAAACTTGCTTATTAGTCGTGCAAGCTTACGAGTTTGCAAAACGACAGAGGTTCACTCCAGGTGGGACCAGCCAACTGCCTGGGGAGCTTGACACTCAGCACCTCTACCCTGAGCTGTGTCCGCCTGCACATGGCAGCGTGAGGGTGTGTGTGTGGGGGCTACTCACACTTGGGAGGTTTGGGTTCAGGAGCGCTGCGGTTAATATTAATAACGGGGCTCTCAGGAAACATAGCTTCTCCAGAGTTTCATTTTGAAGACATTTGGGAGTCTTGTTCGATCGGCAGTAACATTGCACAGAACAGAAGTGTGTTCAGCTGCTGGGACCTGTTTCCTCCCTCGTGCCCAGCCATGATTGTGTTGAAAGATCTCGCTTCCAGAATTACTGAGGTTTTACAGCTCCATGCTCCGGAGATCGAGATTTTCAGTTATCTTATCAGTTACAGTCATGGATTCTCAACGCGTGTCTTTAATGGGGCTGTCTCTGTTCCCTTGCCCTCCCTGGATGGTAACAGTGGTGGGTATGGGATTTGTGTTGCAAGGCAGTTAGTTAAACGTGCTGTGCCTCAAATGCTCTATGTGATTTAGTTGAAGTGCTCCTCTGCAGGTCGTGCCATGTAGTGTTAAGCTGGTTCGGCTCAGCCACCACATACATACACACAGACATGCACACACCTAGATACACATGGACGTACGTACATACATACATACACACACACGCATGCACGCACATACATACATACATACATACATACATACACAGGCTATCAACCGCTTGCTCCCCTCATTCTAGTTTGATTAGCAGTGTCCATGCCATCGTTTGTCACTGTTGGTTTAACTGATTATTTTACACTCACGACAGCTGCCTCTTTACTATCGGCCACCGGCGGTGACAGCCCAGCCCGATCTTGTGCTTGGACAAAATCTACACGTGTGAGTTGTAGCAACGCTCCTTGGTTAGGGCTGAGGGATCTAGCTCGTTCCTTTCCTCCCAATAGTTTACGGTGTGTTCTGTGAAGCGCTTTGGGACGTCCTCCCGACGTGAAAAGCGCTATATCAAATGCAAGGATTATTATTATTATAATAGTTATAATAATTACTTTAGGGCTGAGGTCAGCCCACCACTCACACAGGGCAGGTAACACACCACGTGGGGTTATTCTGAAAACTGCATGGTTCCGGAGTGTTCCGAGCAACACTGCATTCTGGCTGATTTTCACAGAGGGAATTGTTTTATCAGAACTGATGTATTTGCTGCTAAATGTGACTGGAGGTGAGAGAACAAGTCTGTTTCTACTATGAAGTGAAGGGTGCAGATGGGAGTCTATAAACATTGGTGCGAGTGCACTTTGAATCATGCTGTATGTTGGAAGTAGTTACCACGTGGTTACAAATTCTGGAGGGATATTGCCTCCCTGTAACTGCTGCAGAGAATTGCACTCATTGCATGTGCTGTTGGCACCCGGGCTGAAGGGGCGTGGGGGCCTCTGGGTGTCCTCATGACTGTCTTTCTGACGTGAAAGGCACTATATATAATAATAATTCTTGCATTTGATACAGCGCTTTATCACGTCTTCGAGACGTCTCAAAGCGCTTCACAGGATACACTGTAAAGTGAATTGACTGTATAATTTGTGGGTGAAACACATTATAAATATATACATGTAATTTGTTGTTGATGTTGTAGTTTTCACGGTACAGAAATGTCACACTGAGTAAAATTGGATGGTGAGTATGTTACTGAGGTGTGGTGTTGTGTGTGGTGGTGTTGTTTGGTGTTAGTTTAGGTGTTGTGTGTGTCTGTGTCTGGTGTTGTGTTGTGTGTGTGGCATTGTATCTGTGTGTGTTGGTGTGTGTGTGGTGGTGGGTTTGGGGTGTGTGTGTGTGGTGTTGCGTGTGTGTGGTCACTTTGAATCTGGGTTAAGTAAAACCCTCAAATATTTTCTACTTGGGTTTGAAGTTCTGAGAATTTGTGAGTCTCGATCGGATACCTGTGGGGAGAGTTCCTTGTGGCTTAATGAATGGGGGGGGGGGGGGTGACCTGCGGTGGGGAGAGGGGAGGTGTCCTCTACTGAGGGTGGGAGGAGGTGTCCTCTACTGAGCAGGGAGTGGAGGGGGGATTGTCCTGTACTGAAGGGGGGTGTTTAGGTGTCCCACAAGCACTATAAATGCATTAACAATGCTGAGGTTTGCAGTCTCTCTTGTCCACAGAGCCTGTCTATTGACAGGATTCTGTCGAGAGGAGCGGATGGTCGGGTTATTGGGCTGCAGCTGCTACTATATAGAGAACGATTACAAGCAAAACTTTTCCAGATTTTATTTTTAAATTCCTTGAAAAATTGCATTTGCTGCTACTCGGTGCCTCTTTGTAGCCGTGCCATCAGTGTACAGTGGTGATCTGTCTTGTTGCTGGAAGGGCCTGAAACCTACTATATTACAATCAATGGATGTTTGATCTCGATTGCCAAGCAATGCATTGTGTTTCCTCCCTACCCTGACCAACATGTTTTGTCAATGGCTTTAACCCTTTGAGCACAGGTGGTGGTTTACCCTTCAGTCTCTGTGTTCCTATCTAGTCTGGGTAAAAGCCAGTACAATAAGCTAAATCCGCAAGGACACCGCTGAGCTGTCTGCCCTAAACAGGAGTCACGCAGCTCAGAGTTTATTGGTTTCTCACAGTTAGTGGAACTTTCACTCGTCAATAGGTGGGGGCTGGGAATTGTGTTCAGGCCAAAACCTCTCCTGTTTGAACACCTGTAATTCAATGCCAGTGCAAGGGTTAAGCCATTGTACTCGGCACAGAATAGCATTGGCACTCTACGTTCAGGAATGCAATGGACAAGCTGGCAACTGTGAAAGTGATCGGGATCTGTGTGTGTTTGATTCTTTTAATCTTCGTGGCTGATGAAATGAATACATTAAGTAGATGAAAGGCTGTGTTCTGACTGAGGAGGTGTTTATTGAGTAGAGAATTGTCGCCCCAACCCATGGTACAGCTGAAAGAGGCCAAAAACAAACCTGAGATTTGTTTATCCCTGGACTTCAAAGCACTCTGCTCTCTGATCCTCTGATAAGCAGTCTTGAAGTCACACTAACTCTAATAAAGATGAGATAAAGGGTTCTTTATCTCGCATCCATGTTCCAGCCTTGTCTGCAGCGTTTGAGCCAAACATAGAACTGGAAATTCAAATTAAAACGAAAGAGAGAGAGAGAGACGCTGGGCTCGGCTGGGCTTTGCTGTACCCCTCACCCCTGTCTGTCTGCCCTACAGTAAGCCCCTTCCCCCTCCTGGAAGCCAGCCAGGCAGAGGATACAGGCTGCTCCATAGTTGGCAACAGAGTATTGCAATTGGAAGCCCAGCACACGTGAAATTCTGTGCGTTTTTTGTTTGGGTTTGTGCATCAGCTGACGGGGACATGG